CCCTCTCCTTCTAGGTTACCCGTCGATAATTCAGCTTTAATAGTGGCACGAAAAGCCCGCGAGATATTGTCTAACCCTGAGAAGCGGCCGTGGTTTAAGCACACGCTGTGTCCAGGCACCATGGGCAGGATCAGGCCCGCTCAGCCCCACAGATGCACTTCCACAGGAAGCCCGGGAGGAGGCTGCCGGGGCTGCCTGTAGAGAAAGGGCACTCTGTGGTACATCTTTTTACTCCAAATTACCCGATGGAAAAAATCAGGAGCTCAAGGCAAACCTTTTTTTCAGCTAAAAATACTGGGTTTAGTCCTAAAACCCATATTAGTACATGATGCAGAATAGCCCCCTGTGGTTCCTTCAACCTAAAAAATTATTCTTAGCTGTTACACGCTATTGAGGGTATAACCGTTTCCAGCTGGAACAGTTTCACTCCAGTCATGATTTCAGCCACAGACCATGTAGCTTTCTCCCTCCTCTTCTAGGTGAATAAATACTTGTCATCGTGCACTGAACACCGGCCAAAAATGATGCAACAGTGAACACAAGTGATTCTTCTGAGCTAATGGGTTGAAAGCCTGTAATTCTTAGGACATGTTTTTAGGCAAGAGCAACATAGGACTGGACTACTTCACCTGAAAATCTTAGAATAAAATTTCACCTTTAGAAGGTTGGTAGGTAAGAGCAAAGCTCCCCAGCAAAGGGCTGGCCCCTGATGAGCTACATCTGATCCTCCTGGTTGTTGTCACACAGCTCGAGCCAATACCAACATCGGTAGGAGCGAAGAGAGGCAGCCCTGCATTTCAAGCTGTCAGTCAGAACTTCCAACCTCACTGCAGAAGCAACTGTGCCTTGTTATTGTCAAAGTTGATTTTGAGCACTCAAAAATATTTTCACATGCTCTAAGACAAGCTTTATCTGAGATGTGAGAAGTTTAGCACTTGCAAATTTTTTTTTAAATCCCATTTAGCACAAACATGGTATTATTGAGACAAAAAAAAATCAAGAGAGTGCCTGAAACACGTCTCATCTGCAGAACTTGACATTTTTGTAAAACACCTAAAGGAACCTCAGATGACTGGGTTTTTTGTAATAGCAGATGCATCCGAAATCCTCCACGACACTTATTCAAGCAGAACAGGGAGATTGTAATGAAAATTCAAGATTGTACCCATGTGGTTAAATTTCTTCATGGTTCAGTTACAGGACTATGGGCTGATGTCATCTAGGTGTGAAATCACCCCAGCAGTCAGTCTGACATTTACTAGGGTACCAAGGACACGATGTACTTCAGAGCCCTGGATTACCATGCCAATTCATCCTCACTATTAAAAATCCAAGTGCAGGGAAGTGGCATCCCTAACAAACTAAATGCCTGCCTTATTGACCCTTTGCTTTCACCCATCCTAGCTGGGAAGCAAGAGCCTGCCTCCCTCAGTACAGCAGAGGAGCTACAAACACAGAGCACAGCTCTGAAACAACAAATAATTGTCAAAAGCAGCCCAGAAAATGTGGCAGAGTCTGTCACGTCCCCCCTCACCACCCCCACTTCTTGTTATTTGGAAAAGCAGCTCCCCTGTCAAAATACCAGAGATTTTGTCTGAGAAGAGGCAACATCTCAGCAGCCTCTGTTTTCTACGTCATTTGTCACAGCCCTAAAAATAATAAAACCAACAGTCAATTCAGGCAGGTGAACATCCGACTGTAGCTTTTAAAGTCAGTCACTGCAACGCCCATCACCTCAGATGGCTTATGCTGAAAGGTGGATTACCACAAATATGCTGCTACTTCTGCAACACCCAATTATTTTAAGACATCCTTCCCACATGCGGCAAGCTGAGTTTGAAAGGCAACACTAAAGCACTCTGGTTACTCCAATCCATCTGGCCAACGACAGATACTCCCATTGGGTTAAAATTTTGGACACTCCCATAAGGTTAGTATTTGATTTAGTCACCTTAGTCCCCACAGCTAAAGCCTGAACCCTAAGCCAGGAAGAACCTGATGGTACAGTTTCCCTTTCCCTCCTGACTGTGTTTACACTGAGCTTTTTAGGTGAGACTTCCTACCATCACATACTGTCCCCTACAGCCAATGACGAGAGCTGTGACAAGGATCAGTGAGCAACAGACTGCGATCCAAGTATCCAGACAGGATGAACCCATCCTTGGTGCTGGCTGAAGCGTTAGTGACTCCTGTACTGCACATCTACTCTAGGAAACTTGAAATGAAAATTGTCCAGGGATCGAGGACTACCTGGAGTTCCTGTTCTAGGAGATAGCGACTTGAGGCGAGTCTTCATCCCTTCTCAGAAAGACCCATAACCAGAACAGTTTTTTCATCAAAATTCTCTACTTGCCATCACAAACAGACTTAAGAGTCACTTGGGGCATGTCAGGAGCACCAGACAGGTATTGGTGTACTGGCAGGTATCAGTAAAGACAGTTGGGATTGCCAGGGCCTAAGAGCCACCTGTGGTGACATCAGGCATAAAAGGAGGACAGAGTGCTCCTTTTGGGCTGTAATATATAATCATAGGTAAATAAAGTAAAGTATGTATGGTCAGCCAGCAGGGTGGGACATGGAGCTAGACAGTTTCTTTTTAGTACTTCTGCATTACCTAATGACATTGTTATTCAATCCAATAGTTGCCAGCAAAACAGAACAATTTAGAAAGCAATTAATTTCCCAATGCCAATTTTTGCAAAGCTCATTTCAAAACTCACATTGCTGCAACTTCAAAATCCAAAAGCACTTACTGTTCATTGCGCTGAAGAAAGGCCGCCACAAACAGCACCTATTTGGATTGAACAAAACTACTACAGACACACTGCTCATTTCCTTATTGAAACTTGTCAGCTAGAGTTGACTCAAATCTATTCAGATAAAACCACTGGAAGCCCTTTTTCCGCCCTCTTCTCCTGCTGCCCCAGGCTCCTCACCCAGCTGCACGTGCAAAGCAGTACGAGTCAGCAGTGCTTGCTATACTGTGGAGAAAAAAAAAAAAAGAATCAAGAGCTGCATGCAGTGTTGCAATTTTCCTGTGGAAACAGACTAAGGAACCTTCACCCTGATTTTACCTGACCTCTGAGACACAAGGGCTCGCAGGCATACGGAGAACACTTTGACAGGCAACAATACACAGAGCTGCACTGGATAAAATATTTACATTTCCTGTTTCATCACTGGATCATACCTGCAATGATGCATAATCAGGCCTTCTCCTGAGGCCCCCACCCCTGAACTGGCCATACCAGCAAAGCTTAGCAGATCAGCAACAGTAGAAAAAAAGATGCTTGGACACATTTCAAGATGTCTACATTTGGGCTTTTTTTCTCTCTTCTATAAAGACAGAAAGAGGAAATGCAAAGGAAAATACAGCTGAAGCAACCTGCCGGGCTCCCAGCTGGAGCACTGCTGGGGCTGAGATGCAATGGCTATTTTAAGATAGGGGAAGGCTCACAACATTCAGATGTCAACATTTAGCAGTGGACAGTATTTCAAATATTTATGCAGCCATGTTCCTTTCTGAGAAATTGCAAACATCAGGACTTTTTACACCAGAACTGCTGTACAGAAGGGGAAGTGTGATCAAGAAGGGGCTGAACACTTCCTTCATTCATCCAAGTCAGGACACCGAGCTTTGGGGATCAAACACTGGCACATTCAGGAGAGGGGATTGCTACTGTAATTTATGAACAAAACAGTATATTCCAGGACCTAAAATAAATGACAGACAAGACCAGAGATAGCAATGCTTTATTTGTACATTTCAGCAACAGGAGAAATAATTGAAGATGAAATTATCTGCTTTGTTGTAAAGTATAAAAACATTTAATTATAAATATTTAGCTAAAAAAGCGTGATTTATAAAATATAATCTGTGAAGATATATATACACAGTTTAATTGTTTAGCAATTCTTTCACCTGACATTAAAGAGTAGAGGTTTTTCTATTTATTATTCCACGCTCACAGTTTAGTGCTCACAGCTTAAGAAGCAAAACAGACAAGTGAAAAGACGACTGGTGAGTTTCATTCTGGAAAGAAAAATAAAATAAAATGCACAAACTGGGGCAATAGCAGAGGCAGAATTTGAGCAAATCCATGTTTCAAGAGAGGTCTCTGAAGGAACTCAGCTCCCCCGCCATGACCTAGAGCGCATATATCCAGCCAAGCAGTGGGCTTTTTAACATTTGTGGGCAAGGTTCCTTGTGTTTGCAAAAGAAAAGGGCTAATATAGTGCAAGTCCTCCGAATTCAGGTCAGCCAAATGTGCTCACCTCGCTGCCCTTCCCATCTTGAGCAAGGATTGCTCAGTATGCTGGGCTGGTGTTACCTGTCTCTAATGAAATCAAACAATGTCAACTTAATGATTCAGGATACAAGCAAATTTCCAAATAGAAAACCCCTATGTGCCATCTGATTGCATTGTCCAGCTGGCAATATCCCTTAAAAACAGACACAGCTGCCTACAGCTGGAAAATACAGTGAAGCCATACAGTACACTAAACATGATGGAATGTGAAAGAAGATACATGGTCAGGCAACTCAGTTTTCTATTCCTTGTTTAAGAGAGAGCCAGCTTCCTCCCTTTGAAGTCTTGGGAAATCTCACCCAGGTTTATTACTATGGCACTTCAGAGAAGAAAAACTGGGAAGACTCTCCAACATGCTGGGTGGCAGAAAATGCTACAGGAAATTACAATTAATTTGATCCATGTCCCTAGTAACTATCTTTCTCTCTTCACAGTGTTTTCACAGTGCCTGTGGCATGGAGCTTTGAGGATGAAGAAAAGGGATAGTCAAGGATACATGACAACACCCAACAGCAGTACAAACGTACAGGAAGTCAAGCTGTACTTTGTACACTGATTTACACAAGACCTCACTACTTGCCTGTAAGCAAGGAATGACTTAAGAAGTTAAGAGGAAAAGGATGTCTAGGAAAGAAGGAAAGAG